GAGGGGAAGAGAGAGAGAGAGGAAGAGGGCAGGAGAGAGGAGACGAGGAGAGGGAACGGGAGAGGTGAGGGAAGAGGGAGAGAGCGGAGAGGAGAGAAAGAGAAAGAGAAAGAAGAGGGAAAAGAGAAAGGGAGAAAAAAGAGAGATAAAGAGGGAGAGAGAGGAGAGAGAGAGAGAGAAGAGAACAGAGAGATGAGAGAGAAGGGAGAGAGAGAGAGGAGAGAGAGAGAGAGAGAGAGAGAGAGAGAGAGAGAGAGAGAGAGAGAGAGAGAGAGAGAGAGAAGAGGAAGAGAGAGAGAAGAGAGAGAGAGAGAGAGAGAGAGAGAGAGAGAGAGAGAGAGAGAGAGAGAGAGAGAGAGAGAGAGAGAGAAAGAGAGAGAGAAGAGAGAAGAGAGAGAGAGAGAGAGAGAGAGAGAGACCGAGAGAGAGAGAGAGAGAGAGAGAGAGAGAGAGAGAGAGAGACTGTTAACTGTTCCGTAACATCTTGGTTTTATACAGTATCGTTATGGCTGTTATCCCGAGCCACCTGATTATTTATGTTTATTTATTCAGTTGCCCTATCCTCTTTTTTCACCTCTTTTTACTTTTTATTTACTTCTGATTTCGTGTCTTTGTCTATTCTCCTTCTTTTTCGCTTTTACTGTTCCTCGTTCTCTGTCTCTATCTTAAAATCAACTTCCTCTCTCTCTCTCTCTCTCTCTCTCTCTCTCTCTCTCTCTCTCTCTCTCTCTCTCTCTCTCTCTATCTCTCTCTCTCTCCCTCGTTCTCTGCCATTCTCCCCCCTTTCTCTCTTCTCTTTCCCTTTCCCCTTTCCTTCTCTTCTGTCTCTCGTTCTCTCCCTTTCTTCCTCCCCCTCTCTCTTTCTTTCTCCCTGCCTCCTTCCATATATTTTTTCTTTCTTACTCTCTCTCCTTCTCCCTCTTCCCCCCTTTCTCTTTTTTTTCTCCCTCCTTTTTGCCCTCTTCTCCTCTCTCTTTCTCTTCCCTCTTCACCCTCTCACTCTCTCACTCACTCACTCTCTCTCTCCCTCCCTCACTTCTCTCACTCTCTCTCTCTCTCTCTCTCTCTCTCTCTCTCTCTCTCTCTCTCTCTCTCTCTCTCTCTCTCTCTCTCTCTCTCTCTCTCTCTCTCTCTCTCTCTCTCTCTCTCAAACGCCGTTCATCTCCTTCCCTTTTAAGTCTATAATTCTTCCTTGTTAATGTAATTTTTTTCTATTGTTTTCTTTTTTAAATTATTTCACGTGTTTCCTCTTTGAGCAAAAATGAAAAAATAAAAAAAGAAATAAAATAAAAGAAAAGAAAAAGAAATAAATACATAAAGAAAGAAAAAAATGAAAACAAAGATAACATATAACAAAAATATACCCGATGGTAAGAATTATGTATTAATTTGACGGATGATAGGCCTATGTTGTAAGTTGAACGTTAATTATACACTTTTATCTTCTTTCTTCTATCTAATTCTATCAAAGTTTTAGAATTTAGTGATAATACATCTATCAGTCTCTCTTCATCGATATATTACAAATGTATCATATATATTTTATTGACTTATTTACCTGATTAAAAGCCAAAATATTTATAGATCTAACGATTGCAAGTGAATCCCATTCATTTATTAAACGTACACTTGTATGCATTCATAATCTTCGCTTTCGTACATTTGTGTATGTGTGTGTAAGTGTAAGTGCGGTATCCGGTCGGCCGTGTGTATTCTGGAATAATCTTGAGTGATGAGACGGGAAGGGAGGAAAGGGGGAAGGGAGGGAGGGAAGGGAGGAGGAGGGGAAGGTAAGGGAGGGGAGGGAAGGGGAAGGGAAAGGGAGGGAGGGAAGGGGGAAGGGAGGGAGGGGAAGGGGGAGGAAGGGGAAGGGGGAAAGGGAGGGAGGGAAAGGGAGGGAAGGGAAAGGGAGGGGGGGAAGGGAAGGGAGGGAGGGAGGGAAAGGGAGAAGAAGGGAAAGGGGGAAAGGGAAAGGGAGGGAGGAGAGGGTAGAGAGGGTGGGAGAGGGAGGGAGAGGGGGAGGGAGAGGAAGGTGGCAGAGGAAGGGGAAGGAGGGAGGGGGAAGGAGGGGAAGGAGGGAGCGAGGAGGAACCGGAAGTGTTTTAAGAAGAAAACTGTAACCTTATTTTGTCATTAAGAGAATTATGATAACCATTTGTACTTTTCTGATTGTCGTTTTCATTTTTGGGATCATTGTTGTAATTCTCATCATCATTACTATCAGTATTCTTATGATTATCATCATCATCATATCATTATTACTGTTATTGTTGTTGTCATTGTTATTATCATTGTTGTTGTTATCATTATTATCATTATAACTATTATAATTGTTGTTATCATCATCATCATTATTATTCTTGTTATTATTATTATTGTTATTGTTATTATGATAACAATAATGGTAATGATAATAATAATAATAATAACAAGAACCAAAAAGATAGAAATAATGAAGATAATAACAATAATGGTATAATAATAATAACAATAATAATGATATAAAAACAAACAAACGTCAAGAGTAATTCCAGGAACAACAAACTGCATTCATCGGCTCGCCAAAACCTTTGTGTGACGCTCTGCCCGCTCGCCCGTCGGTGTTCGGCTTTGCGATCTAAAATGGACGAATAATTTGCACTGCAAGAGGAGGTCGGCGCCAGAGAACCTCCCCCCCCGCCGTCGCCGCAACTGACCCCCTCCCCCCCCGCCCCCGCTGGCCCCCTTTTCAGACTGACCCCAGGCCCCGGTCTGTCTGGGGCGTCTGTGTCTCGCGACGGGGAGGGGGGAGGGAAAGGAGGGAAGGAGGGAGTAGGGAGGGAGGGAGGGAGGAGGGAGGGAAGGATGGAAGGATGGAAGGAAGGAGCGAGGGAGGGATGGAGGCTAAGGGAAGGATGGAGGGAAGGAGCGAGGTAGGAGGAGGAAGGAGGAGGAGGGAGCCTAAGGGAAGGATGGAGGGAAGGAGCGAGGAGGGAGGGAATAGGGTGGAAGGGAGGAGAAAGGCTAAGGGGCAAGATGAGGGAGGGAGGGAAGCTGAGGGAGGTGAGGGGAGGAGGGTGAGGGATAGGAGGGAGGGAGGGAAGGATTGGAGGGAGGGAGGAGGGAGGGAGAGGATGGTGTGTATGTGTGTATGTATATGTACCAACGCCAAATACTGAAAGAAGGCAGTCAAATTTTAACCAGTCACAGTTACATCGTCATATTCAACCAGTTCCCAGTTACTTTACCATATTTTGTCATTCACAACCAACAAAGCATCAGATCACATTTATTCCGCTCCCAGTTCGCCCTTTCCACAGGCACCCAGCCCAGCCACCCAGTCCACAGTCACCCCAGTCCAGTCACCCAGTCCAGCCAGCCAGTCCACAGCACCAGCCCACGTCAACCCACCAGCACCCAGTCCAAGTCACCCAGTCCAGTCAACCCAGTCACAGTACCCCAGTCCAGTCACCCAATCCAGTCACCCAGTCCACAGTCCCAGTCCAGCCACCCAGCCAGTCACCAGTCCAAGTCACCCAGTCCAGAGTCACCAGTCCACAGGCACCAGTCCACCCAATCCAGCACCCAGTCCACAGTCCACCCAGTCCCAGTCACATCAACCATCCCCAGTCCACCCAGTCCAGTCACCCAGTCCACAGTCACCCAGTCCAGTCACCCAATCCACAGTCACCCAGTCCAGCCACCAGTCCACATCACCCAGTCCAGTCACCCAATCCCACAGTCACCCACATCAGTCACCCAGTCCAACCACCAAGTCCACAGTCAGTCACCCAAATCCCAGTCACCAGTCCAGTCACCCCAGTCACAGTCACCCAGTCACAGTCACCCAGTCCAGTACCCAATCCACAGTCCACCCAGTCCAGCCACCCATCCCAGTCCACCCAGTCCAGTCCCAATCCACAGTCACCCAGTCCAGCCACCCAGTCCCAGTCACCCAGTCAGTCCCAGTCCAGTCACCAATCACAGTCACCCAGTCAGTCACCCAGTCCACAGTCACTCAGTCCAACCACCCAATCCACAGTCACCCAATCCACAGTCACCCAGTCCAGCCACCCAGTCCACAGTCACCCAGCCCAGTCACCCAATCCACAGTCACCCAGTCCAGTCCACCCCAGTCCAGTCACCAGTCAGTCACCCAGTTCACAGTCACCCAGTCCACAGTCACCCAATCCACAGTCACCCAGCCCAGTCACCCAATCCACAGTCACCCAGTCCAGCCACCCAGTCCACAGTCACCCCCAGTCACCCAACCACAAGTCACCCAGTCCAGTCACCCAGTCCACAGTCACCCTCCAGTCACCCAGTCCAGTCACACCAGTTCACAGTCACCCAGTTCACAGTCACCCAATCCAGTCACCAGTCCAGCCACCCGCAGTCCCAGCCCCAGTACCATCACCCAGTCACAACAGTCACCCAGTCCAACCCAGTCCAGTCAACCCAGTTTCACAGTCACCCAGTTCACAGTCACCCAATCCACCACAGTCACCCAGTCCAGCATCCAGTCCCAGTCACCCAGTCCAACAGTCACCCAGTCCAGTCACCCAATCCAGTCACCCAGTCCACAGTCACGCCAGTTCCAGCCACCCAGTCACTGTCAACCCAGTCCCACCCACCCAGTCCACAGTCACCCAGTCCACAGTCACCCAGTCCAGCCACCCAGTCCACAGTCACCCTCCACAGTCACCCAGTCCACAGTCACCATCCAGCCCACCCGTCAGTCCCAGTCCAGTCACCCAATCCACAGTCACCCAGTCCAGTCACCCATCAGTCACACACCCAATCCACAGTCACCTCCAGTCCAGTCACCCACCACAGTACCCAGTCCAGTCACCCAAGTCCACAGTCACCCAGTCAACGAACCATACTTGCACGAAAAAACGACATTGGCTACTTGCACAGACTGCGCGGTTGCCGGCCTAAACACACCCAAATTGATCACGGTTTGGGTGAGGGGGAAGGGGGAGGGGGAGGGGAAGGAGGAAGGAGGGGGGTGGGGCGAGGGTTGGGGGAGAAAGAATAGGGGGTGGGGGAGGAGGAATGAGGGGGTGGGGGTCAGGGGTGATGGAAGGGGAAGGAGGGAAGAGGGTGGGGCGAGGGTTGGGGGAGAAAGAATGAGGAAGTGGGAGTTGGGGAGGAGGGAGGAGGGGGTGAGGGGTGAGGGATGAAGAATGAGGGTGGGGGGGGGGGCTCGGGGAGGAGGAAGGAGGGAGAAGGGACGTACAGGGGAGGGAGGACTAACGAGGAGGGTGTTGGAGGTAGGAGTTGGGGTGAGGGAGAAGGAAAGTGAGGGTGAAGGAGGAGGACAGGGGAGGAAAGGAGGAAGAAGATGGGGTTGAGGGAGGAAACGGAAGTGGAGTATGGGAGTAGGAAGATGGGTTTGAGGGAGGAGGAAGAGGGTGAGGGAGAAGGAAGGGGGGTGATGGAAGAGGAATGTGGGGGGGTGATGGAGGAGGAAAGTAGGGAAAAGGGGATATGGGAGCTGGGATCTGTAAAGGATGAAAGTGCGTGTGAGGGAGAAGGTGGGGAGAGTTGGAGTAGACGGGAGTAAGGGAGAAAAAGTGTAAGGGAGGTGTAGGTGAGAAAGAAGGGGGGGGGCGAGGGAAGAAGGTGAGTGGCGGGAGCAGGAAGAGAGAGAGAGAGAGAGAGAGAGAGAGAGAGAGAGAGAGAGAGAGAGAGAGAGAGAGAGAGAGAAGAGAGAGAGAGAGAGAGGAGAGAGAGAGAGAGAGAAGCCGGAAGATCCTTTCTTCTCTGTTTTATTTTCTCCCTCTCTTTCAATCTCTCTCCTCCTCTCTCTCTTCCCCTCCTCCCCCCCCTCTCCCTCTCCTCTCCTCCCTCCCTCTCTCTCTCTCTCCTCTCTCCTCTCCCTCCTCCCTCTCCCTCTCCTTCCTCCTTCCTCTCTTCTCTCTCTCTTCTCTCTCTCTCTCTCTCTCTTCCTCTCATCTCTCTCTCTCTCTTCTCTCTCTCTCTCTCTCTCTCTCTCTCTCTCTCGCTTCACTTGGCCTTGATTTTGCTCGATCTGAAGCGTTCCCGCGCTGGCCATTAGAAGCAAAAGTCAGAGAGCTATTTTCCAGCCTATTTCAGCGCAATTTCTTTCGGATTCTGTGAGTCGTAACTGTATTAGAATTAGGATGTTCCAAAATTCGGCCACCACGAACTCGGGTGAAAAAAAAAAGAAAATGAAAAAAAGGAAAATCTACATCAGCGTTTATATTTCCTGACTTCCAAGTTTCACCGAGTGCCGAATTAATCTTGTTTTGGGCTCGTGGGCTTGACAGGGAAGTGAAATTAATGATTGCCAATATAATTCACGGTGTGCGGGAAGGAGATAAAGAGTCGGAGGAGCATTTTGTTTCAGGTTAAACAACGAAAATAGAGATAAAAAACACAATATAAAGGACATAAAAAAGGAAACTAACCCCATCATCAGGAAAGAAAACAAACAAAATCATACCATAGGCTCGTAGTCTGCTGCAGTGTTGCCAACAGACCCCGAGTCGTTAATGGCAGTGTTGCCAGAGACCCCTCCCTCACCGGTGTCTGCACGCGCCGCCCTCTACGTCAGAATTGCACCAGTGACTTGGCAACATGATAAGGCAATGCAGCTTGGTCAATACCGCGAAAGTACTGCCTTGTCGACCGGGCCTGCCATGCTACGTCGAAATTGGCGCGCGAAAGTCGAAAGCAGAAATTGGCTTGAGGTGTGGACTGTCGAGAGGAAAAACTGCCGGTGCGATTCGGATATTCTGAAGGATAATTTCGATAGTTGCAGGAGGAGTGTGCGAGCAAGAGTGAAGATGGGGGCATAATGATGATTATCATCACCATAATCATCATAATCATTCTCACCATCATCATTATCACCATCAACATTATCATATTAAATAATTACCACTGTCATCATTGTCAACAGTTGGTCAACAGGTCATACATCATTAGCATTGTTATATTAATATTTTTTCCATTACACTATCATAGTTACTTCTAATGTAATTTATGTAGTTCTTGTTGTAAGTTGTTGTTGCTACTACTGCTCATGTCTCTCTCTCTCTCTCTCTCTCTCTCTCTCTCTCTCTCAAGTAATATATCAGAGTAGATTGATAAGATACAGATAAGGAAAAGAGAGAGAGAGAGAGAGAGAGAGAGAGAGAGAGAGAGAGAGAGAGAGAGAGAGAGAGAGAGAGAGAGAGAGAGAGAGAGAGAGAGAGAGAGAAAGTAGAGAGTAGAGAGACAAAGAAAGAGAAAACGAACTTAAAGTATTTCATAATACTTTAAAACATATATACCCCGTTTGCTTTAGACATATACATAACAACAGAACAACAAAAACAAAAAATTCCTCATTACTTGTTCAAATATTTTTGCAAAAATCACAAAAAAACTAAAACGAAAAGATATTATCACCCTCATTAAATTTTCAACAGTCCGCCGTTTTTTCTCTCCTCGTTAAACACCGACTCTCGCCTGACAAGAAGCTGTAAAACACATGGGCTAAAGTTGAACATATTGACAAAGTCGGAGCAAAAATTCATGCTTTTCTATACTGGCTGAAGGGCGAGTCTGTGCATGTATTTAAATTCCTGTGCTTGTCAGCGTGTCTGTATTGGGATCCTTGCTCAGGTAGATTATATATATATATATATATATATATATATATATATATATATATATATATATATATATATATATATATATATATATATATATATATATATATATATATATTCGTACACACACACCACACGCATATTTATATGCATATACATAGATATGTATTTATGTATGCATGCATGTATGTATATGTAAGATTTATTTCAAATTAGTATAGACTGATTTACACAAATTTAATAAACATGTAGGATTTGATGCATCAAATCAGTATGTAACTCTGACCTTTTCTTCGGGTTGGTATTCAAACACAAAAGGACAGAAAAAATAATTTGAGAGAGAGAGAGAGAGAGAGAGAGAGAGAGAGAGAGAGAGAGAGAGAGAGAGAGAAGAGAGAAGAGAGAGAGAGAAGAGAGAGAGAGAGAGAGAGAGCAAGAGCAAGAGAAGAGTAAGAAGAAAAGAAAAAGACACAGCACTGGTAACGAGAAAATACAGAAAGAGGCACCAGAGCTAGAAAAAAGAAAAAGGCAGAGAAACGAAGAATTGAAGAAAAAGACGAGACACCGAATTTGAGAGAAAGAAACAGAGGGAAAGAGATAAAAGAGTGAGGAAGAAAGAGATTCCGAGCCCAAGGCAGGCAAACTCACCCTGATCTGTCCTCAGCATTAGCCCTGAGAGGTACAAAAATTCTTGGTGAAAATGCGCCTCGAAAAAATACCTTAGTTGTGTTTTTATTTATTCATCATTTATTTACTTCGTTTTGCGCGATGTTTGAGGAAGGGGAGGGAGAGGGGTGGAAGCGATATTTCTGATAAATACCTGTACGCAAACACATATTAATTAACACGCGTATACAAAAGAACAAAAAAACATAACATAAATACAGATACACACACACACACGGACACACACACAAACAAACACACACGGACAAACACGGACACACACACACAACAAACAAACAACACCACACAAAACACACACAACACACACACACGGACACACACAAACCCTTTTCCCTTCCCTCTCTCCCTCCCCCTCCCCCCTCCCCCCCCAATCACCAATCCTCCGCAGGTACAGCGCATCCTCCAATCCTTCCATCCTGCAGGGTTCTCCAGCGACCGCAGTGCGCGCCTACCGATTGCATCCTGGCGACGGAAGGAAGGTTTTCCGGAGGAGGAAAGGAAAGGAGGAGGAGGAGGAGGAGAAGGGAGGAGGAGGAGGAGGAGGGAGGGAGGGGAGGAGGAGGAGAGGAGGGGAGGAGGAGGAGGAGGAAGGAGGAGGGGGGAGGGGGAGGAGGGGGAGGGGGGAAGGAGGGGGAGGGGGAAGGGGAGGAGGAGGGGGGGGAAGGGGGAGGGGAGGGGGGAGGGATGGAGGAGAGGAGGAAGGAGGGAAGGAGGAGGAGGAGGAAAGGGAGGAGGAGGGAAAGAAAGGAGGGAAAGAGGAGGTGGGTGGAGGGTGGAGGTGGAAAGAGGATGAAGGAGGAAAAGAGGAGAAGGAAAGGAAGGAGGAGGAAAAGAGAAAGGAGAGGGGGGAAGGGGGAGGGAAAAAAGGAGGAGGAGAAAAGGGAGGAGAAGTGGAAAGGGAAGGAAAAGGAAGGAGGGGTGGAGGTGGAGGTGGAGATGGATGGGAGGGAGGGAGGAGAAGGAGGGGAAGGGGAGGAGGAGAAGGAGAGGGGATGAAGGGAATAGAGGAGGGAAGGGATGAGGAAGGGAAAGGGGAGGAGGAAATGAGTGAAGTAAAGAAGAAGGAGGAGGGAGTGGAGCAATGAGAAGGAGGTGGAGAGGGGGATGGAGAAGGGAAAGAGGAAAGAAGAATATGAAAAAGAAAAACAAAAAGGAAAAAAACAGGAAGATAAAAAGGGAAGAACAAAGGAAAAGGAAAGGAAAAAGGAAAAATAGAGGACAGGAAAAGAAAAGAAAAAGGAAGAGACATAAAAAGAAGAGAAAAAAAAAGAAAAAAGAAAAAGACAAAACATAAAAAAGAAGAAAACGGAAAAGAAACTCAACACAAAAAAGAACAAAGCCAGAAGAACAATAAACAAAAACAAGAAAAAAAAAACATAATAAAAAAACGAAAAGAAATAAATCAGACTATTTAAAAAAGGAAAAAAAAAAAGAACGAGAGAAAAAAGGAGAAGAAGAAAGAAAATAGGAAGAAAAGAAAAACCGCCGAGAGAGGGAGAAAGCCATGGCCGCCGCCTGCCTGCAATCCCGCCACGCCCTCTTTTCTCTCGGGGCGGCGTCGGGGCTGGCGCTTTCGGGGGGGGGGGGGATCTGGCTTTTTGGTTGTTTTATTTACTTGTTGCTTGTCCTACTTGGTCCTCATTATTTATCTACTTATAAATTTATTCATTTTAATTGTTTATATATTTACTTGTTCATTTACTTTTTAA